TATAAGCTTTAGATTGAAAGCAACCTCAGTAAAAATTCTTGTAGGAGTGTGTGTGTGCGTGCGCAAATTGATAAGCTACTCATAAAATTTCTACAGAAACATGAGGGCAAAGAATAGCTGCAGCACTTAACAGCAAAGTGAGAGAGCTTAAGCTATTTGATATCAAGTTTTATAATGTTCAGCAAAGATAGAACAAGACAGAGCCCAGAAAGAGACCTTGAGGCAATTTGTAACAATATCCCACCTTTTCCAATGGCTCATCATCCAGTACAGAACTAACTCTCCAAGGAAGATGCTTAGGAATGGTTTGTAGGAACACAAACCATTCAAAGGGCACTCATTGACACAGCCATCTCAGTACCTTTCCAGTCTAGGGTAGTGAAGAAGTTACATTTTTTTTAACTGTGCACAGTTCAAATTATGTGACTCTTCTTCAGTTTAGATTACAGGCATTAGAGGGCATCTCTTTGATCAAATATGATAAAATTCTATTTCAATGGCCTACATGGGGTCCAATAAATTTAGTCATTTAAAAGATGTTCTTACATTGTTGAAAGATTGATTAAAAATGGCAGCAGCTTGCTGCTGTGGAAGACAAGAAACACTCACAAATTAGGTGTATTCTTTGTGTGTTTGCTAGGTGTGTTAAAGAGGAGTTTCACTACAGTAGGTAGTGGGAAATAAAATATTTTAGTTGGGTTCATTATTCTGCAACAAAATCAAGGATATTATCAGTAAGGTAGACAAAGAAAGAAAGGATATTCAACAGACCATTAGCTATTTCTACCTCAGGAGGGATTGTGAAAGATCAGATAGGATGGTAGCCAAAGAAAGCAGAGGAATGAGCAGATCTGAGAAGCAATTGCTGAAGTTTATATGATATGATATGATATTTATGATATGTATCTTCTACACCTGAGTGTGGCTGTACAATATTAAACATAATGGAGATAATTTCTACATTTCTCTTAATTAGAAGAAACATGTCTACATACATTGAGTTATCATTTGGTCACAGTTCCTTATTTTGCTTTTGCTATGTTCTTAAGTAATTTAATAAAATTTAATGTTTTTTAGTATTGTGGTTTGTTCTGGGAAGCATGAAAATAAATATGAGCTTATTCTTAAATCTGATTTTAATAGCCCTTTAGAGAGTAAAGTCTTCCTTCATAATTACCTTCGGTACCAAAGATCAAAATTAAAACTTCAATGAACTATCACAGGCAAATAAATATCTTCTAGATAAAATTTCTCGTTTGAAGTTGATGAAACCTAAGTGACTTGCAAAGATTACAAAGCCCTCAAGTTAGGAGCTTGGTCTAAAATGACTCCTGACTCCAATCCAGTTCACTTGTCATGGTAATAAACACCTTACTGTCCACTGGCGAGAGGATATTTTGTTATTTAGATATGATTCTCTAAAGCAGGACTTCACCAGCACAGCTCTATGGGCATTTTGGATCATGGAATTCTTTGTTATGAGGGCATGTTCCTGTGCATTGTAGGATGTTTAGCAGCATCCCTGGCCTCTACCCACTGAAGACCATATATGGAAGAACAATTGTGCATATGATGACTTTGAATCCAGAAGCTTTGCTAAGCTTACTTATTAATTTAAACAACTGAAAGATTTCTAACAGAAAAATTCTAAAATATGATTAAGAGAAATTAAGGAGAATTGAATAAATGGATAGCTATACCATGAATGGGGAGACTCAATGTTATAAAGATGTAAGCTATAGATTGAAAGCAATTGCAACAAAAATTCTAGGTGTAATTCCACACCAGTTGTGACAATGAAAATGTCTCCAAACATTGACAAAAATCCCTTAAGAGGCAAATATCCCCCAGTTAAGAACAACAGCCCTAAAAATGTCTCTATATCCCTAAAACGATTTGAATCTTTGTGAAAACAGAAAGAATCCTGCAAACTTTGTACTATTTCTCATAAGAATGTTAAATCTGTTATACTTTCTACAATTTCATACCCTTTCATCAAAAAGTCCAAAACCTGTGTGATTGCTCTTTAAATCTGTGATGGTCTTCCCCGTCTGCTCAGCCCGGTTCTTGCCATTCTCAGCTTAACTTTGTACCAGGGGAAATTACACAGCCCAAGCTCCCTTGTTTTCTGGTTTCTAGGCAATTTCAGTCAATGGGCGGTACTGGCAAAAGTTTGGAGTGGGCAGGGGGAAGTGAAACAGGACCCTTTTCCCTTTCTCTGTTCTGACCATCTTCCCTCTGTGGTCCCACCCATGGGTTTCATCTTCTACCAGGTGGCCCTGGATCTTGGGCTGTGGTTACATTAATTGTGTCTTTCCAGTCCTAAGGATGATAGCAACTTCTCACTGTTGCTAATTTCTGGTTTACCTTGCTATATCCCCTTTGGCATTTTCTTCCATCATCTGTGTAAGCAGTTGCTATGAACTGAATTTTGTTCCCTCTCTCCCCAAATTCATATTCAGGGCCCTAATCTTTAGGGTAGCTGTATTTGGAGTCAGGAAGTAATTAAGGTTAAATGGTATCTTAAGGGCGAAACCCTTATCCAATAGGATTAGAGTTTTTATAAAAGCCCAGGAGCTCCTTCAATCTCTCTGTTCCCTGTGAGGACACACAAGAAGGTAGTCCCTCTGTAAGCTAGAAACAGAGCTCTCACCAGGGACAGAATCTGCCCGCTCCCTGAGCTTGGACTTCCAGCCTCCAGGACTGTAAGAGAACTCGTTTCTATTGTGTAAGCCCCCTAGACGAGAGTATTTTTTTTACGGCAGCCCAAGCTGACTAATACGGTAATTCCTTGTATTATATTTCCATTATTTAAACAGAAAGTGTTAGTTTTCCTGCCTATCCTGGCTGATATAATTCTTATATCCCTGATACCATGAAATATTTACCATAAATTACCCCAATATGTGCACTTGCATATGCATTTCCTTACCTATTTCTCCCAATAACACTGTAAGGTAGGGCGAAATGGTACGACATAAGCAGCGCAGGTTCTCAGTCACTCACACTGAATAACAACACCCCTACCCAAAAAAAGTTAGTTCACCTCTTTGGGCCCAATTTCCTCGTTTGTAAATCTGGTCTAATAATAGTACCAAGAAGGTCATTCTGGATTAAATGAGTTACCATATGCTAAGTGCTTAGAATATTTTTAGGCATATAATAATCCCTCAGTAAATCTAAGTATTATTTTTAGCTACAATTTGTTGAGTGCCTATTATGTGCTAAGTACTTTAATAGGTATTGAGGACATAATGACAAATAACAAATAATGTATTTAAGGAGTTGCAGGTACTTACAATAAAATTTGGCAAGTGGAATAATAGACATATTATGGGAAAGCCAAATAAAGCATGACCCTCAGCTAGGGTTTGGGAGACAGTCATCAAGGTTTGAATCCTAGTTTCACCAATTACTAATAGTTTGGCTCTGGGTTTAAAGCTCTAATTCTCTACTTTCCCACCAGCAAAATGAGAATAATAATAGATAGTATCTACCTCATAAGGATGTGGTAAGAAAAAAGAAGACAATAAAAGTACCGTTTTTGGCATGGCTTCTGATAGGCATCGTACTCCAGAAAAGACAGTTAGCCTTTGTCATCAGTCGGGGAGCACAGAGTCAGGCTGTTAACCTAGCCAGGTCTCCCCCCAGTTCTCCACACTTTAGTGGTCCTTCTGACTACTTGACAATAACTGCCTTTCTTCTTCTTTCTCCTCCTCAGAAGGGGACATTGAGTCTATCACACTCTTCTGGTATGAGGATAGATTAGTACAACCACTTTAGAAAATTTCTTGACAGAATCTATTGAATCTATGTATACAAAGCAATTCCACTTCTGCATATCTGCCCAGAAATGAGTACATATACATACTTAAAGACATAAAAGAATGTTTTCAGCAGCTTTATTCAGAACAAGGCCAAATGGGAAGCAAACCCAATGCTCATCAACAGGAGGATGGGTAAATACATTGTGATATGTATTTATTTTTATAATGAACTACTACATAATGATGAGAATTAACTTTGGTTGCATGCAACAGTATAAATGAATCTCACAAACAGAGTGCTAAGGAAAAAGAAGCCAGACTGCCTATTTTACTACTCCATTTACAGGAAGTTAAAAAATAGGCAAAGTGAATCTGTGGTCATAAAATTCAGAAAAGTAGTTATCTTTGGGGAAGTTTTTGCTGAGAAGAGCAGTGGTATAGTAATACATTTTTAACAACCATCTCTCAACCCATCCCCATCCCCCCGCCAAATCCCTGGTTTTGTATCATTTGCCAGTTTCCATGGTGTATATACTCCCACCATGGTGGATTCCAAGCTAGTAAAGTGACGTTACTGAGCACAGAGTTGGGAAGAGGTGTATCTGCATATGGTCTGCTCTAGCAAGTCGGTGTGAGCCCGCTCTCACACACCACTGGGGCACTCTGGATGCTGGAAACGTCCTATGTCTTGATCTGCAGAGGGCTTACACAGGTGTATACTTAAGATTTGTTCACTTTATTATGTGTATACTATAACTCAATAAAAGGTAAAATGTAAAAATGTCTGTGAGAACTAGAAAGATAGAAGCTGTTCTAACTATGTACCAGAGGAAGGTCCAGAGAGGAAGCAAAGATTTAGTGACTGAAAAGATGGCATTCACATCTTCTTGTCCCCATAATAGACAGAGAGGAATGAGAGACACCCTTAATAGACATCGGCATGAATAGAAAAGAGCTGGGCCACTCTCTCAATCTTTCAACTTGAGGCTTAATTTAATCTTATCACTGATGGGTGATATGCCACACAAAACCAAGTGTTGCTTCTGAAAAGCCTATGTGCACTGCATTACCTGTCACTCAGAGATGGAGGTTGTCCCACGGGGTAGCTCCAGATGAATGTTTTAAGCACAGTACCATCTGAACATAGCGATCAGACACACACAAAAAAACACCAGTGTATAAAGAAAGTTACTTTTATTTTTAGTAAAAATGTACATTCATATCACTTTCCTAGTATTACTAAGGTCCTAAATATGTTCAACATGTCTGGAAGATATAGTCTAGTTAAACGAGAAATTTTAATAGGACGGCTGCTCTTAATACATGCAGCACTCATATATATAAAGTCACAAAGCCAGAGCAAAATTTTTAAGGAGTTTGACTGATGATAGCTCGACACATCCACAGATTCACTTGTTCCCAATCTGGCAGAACAGGACCATAGAGAATATCAGACCAAGTATCTAGAAAATAAAATAATAGAATTAACATGGAATTTAGGGGAAATTGTTGGAGACATTATAAACAGACAGAAAGAACATTATACATAAAAAGATTCTGGCTATGGACAGGCTTAATCTTGTTTATCTAAGGCATTTATCTCTCTTCATGGGAAATTAGAGACTCTCGCGGGACAAAAGAGCACTGAGAAAAGCTCTCTGAGTATTTTGTGTCTTAATCAGGGTGTTCAGCTACCCAATCCACCTCAACCCTGCCCTCTTTGGTTGTTCAGTAGCAGCTGCCACAGAGCATCCACCCTTCTGGACACACACACCCTTCTGCAGGGGATCCGCCCTAAAGCTCTGAGGACCTCAGGACTTTGGCCCCTCAATGTACCTATCGCTTCCGGAAAAGGGTTATGATCACTTGGTTTGGATCACCTGCATGAAAATCAAGGAGTCTAGAATTTCTCTTGATATAGTTAGGCGTTGCCAAGAGGAATGAAAAAGAGTAACTTTTTTCTTTAAAAACTTGTGAATCTTTGGAGAATACGCTTTATTCAGAAATGTCCTTTGAAGTGAAAAAGACACAGCTGAAAATCTGGGGCATAGCTTCTGGCTCATTAAGTGGCTCTACCAAGAATAAAGGATGCTAAAACCTGCCCTTACTCTCTTTGCAGTTAGTGACTTGCATGCTGTGGCTTTGATGTAGAAAGACTGGTGTGTATTACAAATCAAAAGTTTCCTCCCCTCCAGCCTGCTCTGAGGAGAGGCAGGAGGAAGGCGAGCTGCCATTTATGCTGAGTCATCTCAAGTGCCCCTACTCTATTAAAATAGCCTGCTTAATAATTCTTTTCTGAAAATGCATTTTAAAAGAGAACTAGTGCCCAATATTTGTCTTCTTAAAAAAAAGTAAACATCAATACTCTGCAAAAGATAATGATTCTTGGAGTGTTCTTGAAGTCATTCTAAGCCTTGAAATTTAGTCTTTTTGATTTGGTCTCAAGCCTCAAGTCTGGGAGACAAGTACCAGGAAAAAATAAAGAAAATGGGCAGGTACTGGGATTAGGCAATTGTCATCTTTCACTGTCACATTCTTGAAATAGACGCCCACCATCTATCAGCAGACTCGACAATTAATATCACACTTTCTTGCATCTCGCTGCCTCTGAAAATTTATCATTTTCATAAAAATAGCAAGTAATGAAAATGAGATTCATTTGGTAATGAATCTCTTTATGATATCGTAATGTATGCAAAGACTCAGGATAAACTTGCAGGATAAAGTAATGTGCATGAGTTCCCATTTTCGGGAGATGTCTAAAAATGTAAATTTATCATTTTTCTCTTTATTAACTGTGCTATTCCTGGGATCCTGTCCAGAAAACTTTTATCCTACAGGTGACAACTGTCAGTGTCAGTGGCTTCTTTTTTTTATTTTTTATTTTTTTGCCTCAGCTGGACTGAGAAGAGAATGTGCTGATCATTTTTTGTGCTTATAAGTTGCTATAGTCAAATAAGGAGAGAGATGATAGTCTGATTTTTTTAAACTTGGAATAATGAGGACTCCAAAAGTGTCTATAAATAAAATTTTCTACAAAATCAAGCATCTTGCACAGATTCAGAGCATTCTGTCTAAGAAGAGTCTGTCAGGTATGTGGTCTTAGCAGAGCCTGGAAAGCAACTACTGGCCCACTCCATCAGAGCCTATTCCTGAACAGGCTAACGCCAAGGTTTACATGTCTGATGGTAATTTTTTCATACGATTTTTTATGGAGATAGTTTGAATGTATTTTCTGCATGGAGATATTTGCCCCTGTTTTCTTCTTTAAAATATTTATTAGAGGAATTTTTTTTCTCTCTCTGAGTCTTTATGTTTCCTTGAATTTGGGAAATAGGGCCTAAGTGTTAAGCCTTCAAAATGGGCCTATGTATTAGGCAACTAGGATTAATGACTGTAAGACAGACTAGTGTACATTATTTTGGAAACATTTTTATAGACTGAATATCAGAAGACTGTTTTCAAAGCTACCATTCTTTAAACCAACTATCATACCTACATATAGTCTAGAAATCACACAACTGGCATAATTTTAAAAAGTCATATTTTATGATATTAATATATATAAGTTTCACACCTGTAAAAAAAGGTTTTTATTATATTATAAGATATTATAAGGCATTTCCCTAATAATGTCTTTAGAACAACCAATAAAATATCTAAATATGTAACAACACATGGAACATAAAATACGTTACTTCTCTTGTACTCTTACTTTGTATTAGATGTATTTAGGTTCTTGGCGGTGCCTTTAACTATGATATGAGAGATATCAATCTCCCCAGTTAATTATGTTCTTATTTTCTATGGCTTTCCTTTTGAGAAGCGTCTTGAAAGCTTCTCTGGGTTATAGCCAGTCATAGTCAATTTGAGTTTAACATGGAATTTGACACTTAAATTGACACTGCGCTGATACTTCATTTAAAGCCTGCTCTTTTGGTCCTTCATTTACAGTCTACCCTAGCAACAGGTCGCACGTGGTTTATGTTTATAAATCTATGAGAAAACATGTGGCCACTAGCTCATATTTCTAAATTAGCATTAACTCAGAATACAAAGCAGAGAAATAAAGGACATTTCACAAGAAGCAGAAGTGAGAGAAATAGACTTGATACAAAGCGCCTTTCAACTTTGATCATGTATCAGACATAAAAAAAAAAGACAGTCATGTTTCCAGCAGAGAATGCTTCATATTTAGACCTATTCTTGGCTACCAGGAAGTGATACTCAACATCCCCATTTACTGCTGGTTCTAATGGTTGGCAGGGTAATTCCACCAGTAACTTAAATGACCACTTAGAACACAATAAATTGCTTGAATCCCTGCTAAAATTCCTTTCTGGCAGTGATGTGGCACAAGAAGCAAAAAGCTACCAGCAATCCTAAGGAGAGCATTGTCCGGCATTCCATGAGAGTGAAGCAGTGGTCACTCAGCTAAGCTAACCAGCCGTCAGAGACGTTAACAGAAGACACCCCACACATTGTTAGGATTCTTGCCAGCACCTGAACAGGATGTGAGTGAGTTTGACTCACTTGATATCTAAATTCCCCAAGATCTAGGATGATTCCAAAAATTTTCTCCTAAAATAGTTTTATTTTATCTTTTTGGCAAAGATTTTTAGGCTGTGTAAAAAGTGTCATTCAGGTTCTTTAAAAGAAAATGCCAAGAAAGCCCATCAACATCAATAATCAAATTAATGAGAGTAAATACATAAACCTCAAGAACCACTTCCTTAAAAACTTTCCCAAGTGAGTCCGTAGTCCTTACAGTGAGAAAATCAAAGGCAACTCTTTCGAGTTTTTAGAATGTGTGAAATTTCTCTAGAATGGAATAGCAAGACAACAGCTCCCCACACTCTTGAGTTCAGTTTTTATTTTCTGTTTCAAAATTAGAAGGAGATATAAGAAAATGTAAAGGTTGTGCTTTTAATTTGTCTGGAGCTCTTTCTTCTAACTTTGACTCTTGTACTAGTTTTCAATGGGAAAAAGATATCTGGGACTGAGAACAATGTGGGAATCAATTCAATTTTTATTTCCCAGTAGAGAGATCATTCCGAAGTAATGGCTTAGCTCTGCTCAGTTCCTAAGACTGTAATCCTGTCCTCAAACCCAGGGCGGAGAGAGGGTGACGCTGGCCTTTGAGCCCTTGGTACCTCGTGGTTTTCGGAAGGACCTGGTTTTTACTCGGCTCACCGTAAACGTGTGTTAGAAGAATTAATGGGCAAGCAAGGGAATACATACAAAGAGTCAATAATGAAAGATACTGTACCTCAACAATTGCCAGTCCAAATGCTATTGCGATAATTATAATAATATGTTTTTTAAGTAGGTCTTTTATAAAAGAAATGCATGGCTGTTAAAAAAAAACATAAAAAGTTAGCTTTCATCAAATTTTGACTATATTGTTTAAATTAAGATTTTTCCACTGAGTTGATATTTTTACATTGTTACTGAGATACATAGTCAACAAAAAGGAATTGGATTATTTCCTCCACTTCAAGCTCCTCTGCCCTCTGAAAGGCTATGGTTGAGGTTTGTTCATATATTAGAAATCACTTAAGGGGCAAAATTTTGCTTCAGTTATGTCATTGCTAAATCTAGGAATCTTTAGCTATAAATAATAATTTTATTTTAACTTACAATTTTAGAGCTGTTAGCACCTTGACTGTGTATTTTTTTTTAAGCTTGTAATCTGTGGCAGAGTTCCCTGGCTGGGGTTTTGGCTAATCATTGTGAAAATTTTCATTTTTACAACAAAATTTTTCAAAAATCCCTTTCTAATATGTATCAGGTTTATTTTTACCTTAAAAATAAAAAAAAAAATCGCATGTCCACTATTAGGTCCTTAATTTAGGTAAAAAAGAGAATTTGGGAAGTTTACCTCTCTACCACATTATTTTGAAATTTACTCAAATCCGCATGCAATTCCAAGCTTAGAACATTTCAGGCCAACCTAAAAATTCCAAAAATTGTAAATTATATGAATAATTTTGAAAATGAAAAATACTACACAATGGAATAGTTCTATGGTCTGTATGGCCAGAAAATATATCATCCTCATGATAGTCTTATAAGTGCAAATGGCTAACAAAATATTGCTGTTAGTTAAATAAAATATAAGCTCTCCATAAGGCTTAGTAAAACTGTCTTTTTTTCTTCATTCCTGAATGGGTTTCTCCATTCTCGTCTGATCCAAAGCAGTAAACATTAGAAGATATTATTACATTATTTAGGGTTAAATAAGAGATTAATGATCTACTGAGTCATATTTGTTATGCTTGAGGAGTTTTCTCCCCCCTTTCCTTCTAGATAACCAGGTTATCTTGTCAAAAAGGGAGGGGGAGAGAAACAAATTATGGCCATTTCAGTTTTCTTATTTTTCCAGACTTCTTGTAAATAACACAAGGCCAGCAGTGCAAGTATTTTATGCATTTATAACTTTCCTTTTGGGAAACTGGTGCAAATATCAGCCTGTATTCAGCTGAATTATGTGTGAATTTGGAGGGAATGTCTATTATTTTTAAGATAATGGTAGAGATTTTCAAAATGTACCCTGAGGAAAAAAATCTTTGTGTTGAATCTTTAACAGGAGACAGCAGCCTGCAATTGGTTTTACTAATTTCCTTATTATCTTAATTGGAAACTACATTTGTTTACACCATATTTATCCCTCTCTCCCTTGTGGATTTCATGCCACTCACATTAGGAAGGGAGCAGGGGAACAAGGAGGAATATAAAAAAGTAAGAACAGAATTTTTTTTACTGATACCACTTGGAAAATGGGCATGGTAACTCTGTATTTTGATAGATAACTCCTCCTCCACATGTTACTTTAAATACTAGTAACAGCAATTGCCCTTTAGAACAGAGCCTGCTTAATTTTGATAAAATTAGTAAAAGGAACACAAGTCAGCCGGAGACATGTTTCTACTGAGACACTTTCTATTTCCTGATATATAATTAACCTCAGTAGCCATTACTAAGCCAATGCTAGATTGAATATAATCTTAAAGTATCAAAGAAACTAATTTATTGAATTAAAATAGTTGTTACAGGTCTCTCTCCCAACTAGCCTATAATCTCCTGGAGGATCCAGAAGCATGTCTGATTCCAGCAAGGGTCTGTTTGACACAAAGTAGGCACTGAAGTATAATAACAAATAAGTGAAACATTAATATCAGTAACAATAATTGTCATTTTTGTATACATTCCTTTCAGGCAAGAGGAACAAATGATATAAAACCCTGTAGTAATAGACAGATATCATGCCCTCTAGGAGCCATACTTTGAACCCTGAAAACTGAGTTAGATGGGGTCCCATAACACCTGCGCCTGTTCCTATCCCAGAAATACCAGTAGTTCATTGGACTGAAGTTGCCCAGTTATCTTTCTCTTGTCCCTCTCTGAGCATCAGCTCTGTGAGTGCAGACACTGTCCTAATAGGAAATGAGTGGCTGGCAGGGGTCTGGCACATGGGAAGTGGGAAATTCCTGGGACTTTATATCATGATTCTTATTATAAATATTTGATGAATTAAGTGATAAGAAATATGACATTCACATATTACCATCCGCAAGTCATATAATATATATGACATCTACAACACATACAAGATAAACCCAGCTTTTTCAATTGACTTTAAATATCTGAGGCAGCTTTTAAATTGGAATGCTAATTAGAAAAATGAGTAAGTAAACTTAATATTCAGAGCTGAAAAGCCAGGACCTTTTTTATACCTATAAGATCACTTGTGAAAAGGAATCTTTGATTAGAAAAAAACAAAGGCTTTAATTTTAAAATTAAAGTGAAAATATAGATTTCTAAAACTTATGCTAAAATAGAAAAAAATAGAGAACAATGATTAAAGTCACCAAAGAAAGAAAAAAATAAACTTTTATCTGTTAGTTTGTACTTTGCCTCCTCTTGCAACATAATGTTACTTTGATCTATTAAAGTTGTGTTTAAATAATGCCAGACTCATAGAAGAAAAGAAATACTTTCATCTTTTTATATTAGCTTTTATCTTTAAATAAGGACTTTTTTTTTATTTGGGAAATTCCTGGGACCTTTATATAATGATTCTTATTAGAAGTGCTACAATTTAATTCTTTTAAAGACTTCCATTGCAGAAAAAAAATGAGCAGAACCACTTACTGTGCCAAACTTGATGTGTTCTTACCTGTTTGTAAACAGATTTGTTTCCAAACATTGTACAAGAAGCATCTTGTGTATCTGGACATTCACATGACTTGGAATATTTTTCAAAATTTTCCCCCCAGTCAGCAGCTCCATTGACCAAACCACAGCATTTAAACTGTTTGATGAAAAATAAACATCAAATAAAGCAGGCATTAAAGAAGATAAAACCATTGTCAATATATAGAATCATAGTCTCTGGAAATGATTATTAAGATGTTTCTTATATTAAAATATCATGTATTTTCACCTACCTCTCTGAAAGCAGAAGCAAAAATGAAGGAATATTCCTCTTTGGTCTTAATATTGAAGAAGGAAAAATAGCTTGCAGAAGCAAAAGTCTGGGGAACTTGGAGTGAAGATGAAAAACTCACCCTATAGTTTTTAATGACAAAAGGGGAGCAGAACCAGATTTACTTACCTTAGATTTTAGGAAAGAGTCTCCCAAAAAATTCACTAGAGAGTCAAGAGTTCTTAAAATTACTTTTGCTCAAAAGAGAGGAGAGGTTTGAAAAATGAAATTTCTATGTCATGATCTTTGATCACTGATAGAGGCCAAGAGAAAAAGGCTGAGAGGCCTCTCAAAAGCCAAAGAAGATGTTCAGGAGGCCTCCCCCAGGGTTAAATTCTACACAGACATCTGCACAAGAGGGAAAGGGGTACAAATAGAGCTGAAACTCTTAGAATAATTTCAGAAGGATTAAAGCTGAGGCTAAACCAAGGCATGGGGAAACGCTGGGGAAATTTGCGGTTATGTTTGGGGACGGAAAACAAGGAAGTGATAAACCCGATGACTCAGAGTATATGGCACATGTTATTAGATGAAAGAGAAATAATTATCCCTCATCTTGTCTTATTTGCTCCAGTAGAATAGGAGAAAACTCTTCATGCAGAAAGGCAGAGCAAAATGGCCGAAGGAAACGGAACCACCACGGGGTGGTTTTCCAGGCTCGGATGCATCTCAATGCCAGACTATTGAAAGGGCATTCATTCACTTACAGGGTGACCACATTTCCCATGTTACTTAAACCTCTCTGTGCTACAGTTTATTCATCTGTAGAACACAGATAATAATAGTTGCTAATAATAGTATCAATTTGTAAATTTGTTGTAAAGATAAAAATAAGAAAACCCATTTTCCCCCTAGTCAGCAGCTCCATTGACCAAACCACAGCATTTAACCACAGCCACAACATGAGACAATATGAAACGCTTAAACCAGTGGATGACTTGTAGCAAGCACTCAATAGGTGTCAGCTGTTATTGTTCCTGTTATTGTTCCTAGGTGAACAAGGTGCTGTGCATAGAATGAGACAACAATCTCTAGAGAGTCATCACCAAGAATCCAAGGGGGCACATTCCACTAATATGTCAGCAGGGAATTTGTGTGGGAATTCTCAGAAATCTAAAGAGAAAGCCACCTGGTGTCTAGAAGTTTCTGGCCCTATGTGGTAGAGCCCCAGGTCACTCAGCCAAAGTTTGAGGTAGGATTTCTGTTTTGTGTTGTTAAGTCCATTATGCTCTCACTGCATGTGAGATATTCAACATTGATATCAATGATTTAGATAAAGATATGGAAAGTATCTCTTCAACTCTGTAGCTGATACAGAGCTGGGAGTAATGATTAATACGCTGGAGGATAGAAACGAGTTCTAAAGGTAGTTCAAACAATGGTCTTAAACCAGCAAGTGTAACTGAGGCAGACATAATTTCTTCTACTTTTGGCTCAAAGACTGAATTGTACAAATGCAGGGTGGGGGAAAAGTAGGTTTACAGTTGTGAGTACTCGTAACACAGTTTATACTTGCATTATTATTTATTATATACCATATTATTTTCCATATGACTGACTGTAAACCTACTTTTGCCCTATCCTGTATATAACTCAGCAGGCATTTGTATGACAAAGAGCTGGAGATTTCAGTAGGTCCCAAGTTCCATCAATATTAGCAAAGAGGGCTACCTTGAAATATCCTCCTTTCCTATTCCCATGGTAGACATCATTAATTGTTCACTCTTTCTTATTAAATAATCTTGAACAATATTAATTGAAATATATATTCCAGACCAAAAAGAATATAAATCCCACTATATGCTCTCACAGATCAGTCCACACTACACCTCAGGATTCCTTAGGGAGGTATAGATGGAGACATACTTACAGAAGATTAGGAGGAGGTAGAAAGGCTAAACTTGGCATGATATCTGGTCACCAGATCAGATGTGGGAACAATTGGGGAAGAAGTTGGGCAGAACTTGTTAAAAGAGTTTCAACAGCTAGGTGAACAAGGCACTGTGCAAGGAATGAGACAACAATCTCTAGAGAGTCATCACCAAGAATCCAAGGGGGCACATTCCACTAATATGTCAGCAGGGAATTTGTGTGGGAATTCTCAGAAATCTAAAGAGAAAGCCACTTGGTCCCTAGAAGTTTCTGGCCATATGTGGTAGAGCCCCAGGTCACTCAGCCAAAGTTTGAGGTAGGATTTTTTTTTTGAAAGAGGAAGGAAGGAAGGGAGGAAGGGAGGGAGGGAGGGAGGGGGGAAAGAAGGAAGGAGGAAGGAAGAAAGAAAAGGGGGAAGGAAGAAAGAAAGGGGGGAAGGAAGAAAGAAAGGAAGAAAGAAAGAAAAGGCCCCAGTGGATAAGAGAAAGAAAAAAACTCAGAATGCACATTAAAAAAAAACAACTATGGTCTTATGAACACAAGCAGCTTCAGAGATAGGGTTAGCATATAAGAATGAAAAAAAAATCCAGAATTGTACTACAACAAACAAAACATTTAGAACCTCACTGTTAGCCCTGAGACCTGGGGCCAGGAACAATGTGCCTAAGTGTGACTCAGGGCCTGTCCTAGAGACCCAATGCTTTTACCTGTAGTACACTTGGTTCCAGGTCAACCACCAGGGAGAATCAAGGATGCTCCGTCTCACCCAGGGGAAGACCTGAGTTGCCTAAATTCTTCCTGCTTAAATCTGGATTAATTCTGCGTTTCAGAGTGGGAATGATCTGAAGGCGAGAGGATTAAGGGATGCAGCTATGGGGCAGCTAGGTACAGCACAACACAAAATTAAACAAAGACTGATACATATCAGGTTTTGGCTCTTGGAAATGATGCCTTAAGCAGAATTTTTACAATCTGGAGTCTATTGGAATGGGAACTGGGTAGTGCTCTGGGAAAAAAAAAAAGTCATCTGATAAATAGCTCAAGATAGGATGATTTCAAAGAAAAAGTTACAATGTATAGGACCATCAGTAGATTCTGTTTTTCTTCTGAAACTCCAGAAGGGAGAGCTAGTACTAAATGATACAAATTCTACAATGGCAAATTTGGTTTAAAATTAAGAAAGAACACACTAAGTATCAGCCTTGGATATGTGGGAAGGTGTGGTTAGAAGGAGTTCCACAGAGTAAGTCACATTTCAGTCAAGTTTCAAAGTACATGTAATATTTGGAAAGAAAGAGAAAAGTGATAAGTACATTCCAAAGATGGGGAATAGTGCAAGGGAAGAAAGGCAGAATTGTTTAAAGCATCCTGAGTAGACAAACCTGACTGGACTAGAATGTTGGCATTATGGAGCCATGTTTCAGAAATTTGAAATATTAGGAAGGAGCCAGGCAACAGAATACCTTCAATGCCTGCCCAAGTTTTGATTTCATCCTAAAGATAGCAAAGCAGTCTAAATAATTAAGTAAACAAGCTAACTAACTAATGGGGGGGGGTAATGTACTTATTAAAAAGAGTTAACAAGTCAGATCCAGGTTCAAATTCCAACCCCATCACTTGTTAGCTGTCAGACCTCTCCAAACCCTAATCTTCTCATCTGTCAAACAAGGATAATGAGGATAATTGTGTTAACCACCTCATAGAATTGTTTGAGACTTAACTGAGCTACTAAATGTAAAGCCTGGTACCTAGTAAGTAGCGTTATAGTTCATTTTATGAGAGAGGGAGCGGTCATGGTGGGGGGTGGGGAGAGAGAGAGAGAGAGAAGAGACTGACTCTCCAAACAGCTTAAACACACATATAAATATTAAAACAATGACTGATTTGGCCCACTTGAGGCCTTACTCTGTCAAAAACATATCTTCTTAATCTCCATCCTTCTAAACTGTTTTAGAATGTTGTAAGATGCTGGGAAAAAACAGAAATATTCTTGGATGTTTCTTATTGCATTGTGACCGAACAATCATTTAAAATCTGCAAAAATGGAAATGTTTTTCAATCTTTAAGGAATCCACCTGTTAAAACTTAAGTAAACACAGAAGAACTATGTCTAACTCCCCAAATAACCTATGAATTCTAATTACCTGTTCTTGAAATTCATTCAGGGCTTTCTGGAATGTTTCTGCGGCCTCGGTTGTTGAACTCAAAAGTGCTACATTTTTATGGAGAGTCTCATTCAGAATTTTCTCAGACTGAAAATAAAAAAAATATTGTTAAATTATTCACAACAGAAGATAGTATATCTATTTTTCAAACTTTTCCAAAATTACCAAATATCATCTGTATACACACCTCAGATCTGGAAGCAGCTCCTAGGATACCTGCTGCTATCTGAAGGAGCAGGATCAAAAACAAGCCTATGAAAAACTGGAAAAAATGAAAAGGAATATATGTTATCCCTAGGACATTCAGTAGCACCTCGGAACATTTCAGCATGGCGCTTCTTTTTGCAGTCTGGAGCATGTTACAATTTGAAGTAGTAACCACTCTATTTATTCTACCTTTTGTCTCAAGAAGCAAATTTTGGGACCATGACTACTCAGAAATATTTGCTGATCATAGAAAGTAGTTACAAAGAAAATTTATTCATAGAATTATAGGTATCAGTATGATGTAGAATGGGAAAAGTTTAAAAACTGAAAGTATTTGAATATTATCTTTCTCTACTTTTTTCTTCAAACACAAACTTCAAAACAAACTTCAGAACTGACTGCAAAACAACATTTCTACCACTATCAGAATCACTGGGGTGTTGTTATCAATGTAGATTCCTGAAACCTGCCTCAGACCGATTAAATCATAATTTTGGAGAATACAGCCCATAAACTAATTGTTTTTTTAAAACAAACTCTTCAAGTAATTAAATTCTCAATGGCAAATGAGGCCTTAGTAATCTAAAAGCAACCCCTGTGGATGCTAATAGACTTCTGTTAAAACTTTGTCCTTAACCTTCCCTTATAATAAACAAACGCTTAAAAAATATTTTTTTAGGGACTGACGCAATACTTATTTTATGAGGGAAACAAGTTTAGGTGAACTCTGATAAACTCTTATTTCAAATTTATACCTAATAAATACTTGATACACTTTCTAATTTTTTTCTATATCCCTTCATTATTTTCTTTTTTCAAGCATTTTTATTGTTGTTCAATTACAGTTGTCCCCCTTTTTCCCCCATTTCTCCCCCCTGCCCTGCTCAAGGCCTCTTCCTACATTCAACCCTCCCCACATTGTCCTTGTCCCTGGGCCCTTTATACACGTTCCTTGACTTGACCCTTCCCTCTTTTTTCCCCCATTATCCCTCTCCCCTCTGCCCCTGAAAACTGTCAGTTGGTTCTTTATTTCCAAATCTCTGGTTCTATTGTGCTCACTTGTTTGTTTTGTTGATTAGGTTCTATTAATATGTGAGATCATATGGTATTTGTCTTTCACCCCCTGGCTTATTTCACGTATTACAATGCTCTCCAGTTCCGTCCATGCTGTCACAAAGGGTAGGTGTTCCTTCTTTCTTTCTGCTGCATGGTATTCCATTGTGTAAATGTACCACAGTTTTTTGATCCACCCATTTACTGATAGGCACTTAGGCAGTTTCCAGCACTTGGCTATGGTAAATGATGTTGCTATAAACATTGGGGTGCAAAGGTTGTTTTGAACTGGTGTTTCAGGGTTCTTCAGGTATAATCGCAGCAGTGGAATTGCCAGGTCAAAAGGCAGGCCATCATAAACAAATCCGCAATCAACAAGGGCTGGTGAGATTGCAGAGAAAAGGGAACCCTAGTGCACTGCTGGTGGGAATGCAGGCTGGTGCAGCCACTGTGGAAAACAGTACTGAATTTCCTGAAAAAACTAAAAGTGGAACTGCATGTCCACTCACTATTTTCTATGTATTTTAAAAGTGAAGTCTGTAGGTTGATTATCCCAACACAATCCATCTTCCCTGAAGCTTTCTAAGTAACAGATATGATTGTCTACTTAAGATTTTCTTAGCATGAAATACGATTTTGGCACAGTGCTTATTTAGACACATCTCCCATCATTTGCCAAAAATAGCTTCTGCCACTCTAGTCATACCCAAGGCCTCACAGTTCCTCAAACAGGCCAGCCACACCCAAGGGCTTATAGTTCCTCCAAAAAGCCAGGTTCCGCACCCCAATCTCCCCACCCTACCCCCTGGAAAGCTCATCACAACCTCACCTGCGCAAACACCATATTCACTTCTGCCTCTGTCTCGAAGTTCCCTCCTATATCCTTGCCATTTCCTTCGTGGACCATGCCCACTGTAGCTAATTATTTATTTGTCCATCTTCCCTAATGTGTTCTAATGTTCGTAATGTCTCTGCATTATTTAGCACAGTATCTGGCATGTAGCAGGTACTCAGTAATAGTGAATAAATGAAGGCTAAAATCTGTCTTCTCTCAGGGCAGCCTTAATCTAAGCTAAACCTATCAGCTTCCACACTCAACCCCTCTAAACAGAAGTTTGAATTGCATCAGTCTTGGCGAGTCCTTTTGGCAGACCGTGGGGATGGGTGTTGGGATGCGCCTGGAACACTCACCAGCAGAAGCATGCAGCGGCTCTCCTTTATGGCACCGCAGCATCCCAGGAACCCCAGAATCATGATGGTAGCACCCACAGCAATCAAGATGTTCACACCAACATAAAGATTAACAGATTCCTCACTGCTGAGAAGCTGAAAACAGAAAAAAGAAATGAGAAAAATCCCTTCCCTTGATGTTCTTTATTCAATAGAAGTCCGCTGGGGACCTACTGTGTGCCAGGCCCTATTTTAGGACCTTGAGATACTTCAGTGATCTAAACCAGCAAAAATGCCTGCCCTCAGTGAGCTTACATTCTACTAAGGTGTTACTTATTTGAATGTTTCCAACTTTATATTTTTCTAAGGTGATATATTGGCTATTGGATGGAAGCAATGTAATAGGCTTTTAAAACACCAGTTGTTTTAATTTAGAAGATGTACTTCCACCCACGATGTGCTCTTTGGTTTGTATATTTTGTGTTTTATATATGAGTAACGTGGTAATGCATGTGTTTTTTATGATAATTAAATTAATTATGAAGCCCAGTTCCTCAAACTTGTGATAGACCCAACAATATGAATGAACCTCAAAAACATTAATGTCAGCTACATAAGCCATATCCAAAAGAGTGGTTATTGTATGATTCCATCTATATGATGATCGAGAATAGGTAAACCTAAGCTGTGGTGATAGAAATGAGAGCAGGGCTCACCTTTTAGCTGGATAGGGGGAAAGGAGGAACTGACTGCAAAGGGATGAGGGAACTTTTATGGGTTATTAAAATGCTTTACATATTGATTATAGTGGTAATTTCATAGGCCTATACATTTGTCAAAGCAAACAAAAAATTTAAACTAAGAAAAAAATATATAATCTAGTGCCTGATACTACATTTTAATTCTATCTCCTTGTTCCCAAAAGATAGAATCCATGGAGTCTCCCAGAAACTCTTCATTTTGCCTGACTCAAGTAACGAGATATTGAGGGGTAAAAAATCTTAGGGCCCTATGTGGTGGGTGGGTTATACAACCTGCATAATTCAATTCTTCTTCCCCATATACATACTCTTCTTCTTCACCTTCATAACAGCTAGCCCCAATCTACCACTTGTCCTCTAGATATATCCAGAAGTACAAAATGATTAAAAAGTGAAACCTTGTGCCTGTGTTATAATTAAGAGCCACATGTAGCCCATCTTTCTTGTATAACCTCTATCTATTGGTCTATTTCTAGGTAAAGCATTAGTTCTTAGACTAACTCAAGAGACCCTTCTCCTAGAATCTTCTACGTATCATTGTAGATCAGCTCCCTTACAGGGAATACAAAAACAAAACAAAACAAAACAAAACAAAACAAAACAAAACGACCACTATGAATGATCTTCACATTTTAAATGACATTTTAAAGCAATCCATAGCCCAGAAGAAAGCTTTACTGGACAATCAGCAAGAAAGAATGTGCTAAAGTTGTCAAAGCATTACAACAAAGACCTATTGTCCAGCGGGTCCTAATATATAACCAAGTTTCTAATACTGGAATGGTCAAACTAACCCTGCTGGGCCCCAGTTTCTCATTCATAAAGAGAATTAGGTCAGCCTCTGTGATATCTAAGGTCTCTTTTGTCTCTGAGAGTGTGTGCTTACAGATAATGTTTCAATTTACATATTTAGAAACCTTTCCATTTACATATGTCCTAAAGATTTTTTTGTTCACTTTTCATGTTTTGTATTTGATTGTTGTTTATTTGTTAAGATTGGAGCCAGGAAATCAGTTTTGTTAATAAGCAGTCATGGCATCCGGGTCAAAATAGAAAATCACAAAAATACAAAAAAAAAAAAAAAAAAGCATTAGGCAACCTGCCCTACCACTGCTCTTCAAATGTCGCTTCACTAGAATGCTGTGGCCAGTGCAGGCAACCTTAACAGGGGTGTCAAAACTTTTGGTGTCTTTGGGCCACACTGGAAGAAGAGTTGTCTTGGACCACACAGTAAATACATTGCAACATGTAATCACAAAAAAAAAAATCTCGTAATGTTTAAGATTATGATTTTGTGTAGGGCCACATTCATAGCCATCCCAAGCCTCATGTGGCCTGTGTTCTGCGGGCCACGAGCTGGACACCCCTGCAAGGCACCTGAAAAGGTTGAAGCCTCAGTGAGTTATCAGAACTGTGCTCCTTGGCCAGTGTGGCTCAGTTGGTTGGGCACAATCCTGCAAATCGAAAGGTTGCTGGTTTGAATGCCTATCAGGGTGCATGCCTGGGTTGCAGGTTCAGTCCCCAGCTGGGGCATGTGCAAGAGGCACCCAGATCAATGATTCACTTTCACACTGCTGTTTCTCTCCTTCTCTTTCTCCCTCCCTTCTCCTCTCTTTAGAATCAATAAAAGGGAAAGAAAACACAAAAACAAAATGAACTTTGTTCAGCTCAGAGAGAGAAATAATAGGTGAAAGATCCACAAATGAGACCTGGATGATGTGGCCAGCACTTACTCAGCTGGCTGATGAAGCACTTCTAACTGATCTGGGCAGATGACCCACAACCAAAGACTGGTCAAAGCAGGAAGTTGGCTGGAGGGTCTCCATTCTAACTAAGTCCAGCCTAACAAGTAGCTTTTCTTATTCAGAAAAGAAATAGATCTCTGAGTTCAAGTGTTTGCTACAGGACAGGGCAACAGAATACTAAAACCTGTCTTGTATGAACAGTGTCTGAGTGTGTCTTGGAACAAGAGAAGAATTTGTAAAGAAAAAGGAATGGTTGAACCAGAAATTAGGTGGATCAGGGGCCTCTTTGGGTTCTAAGGACCTCCTGGGACAAGAATGGCTGCCCATATGCTTTGCCTCACAATGCTGAGTTTATCCTGAAGGAGAACAAAGCATCCTCAGGAGACAATTTAGTACAGAGGGATAAGATAAAAGATGTTCATGTGACCTCCCTGACATCCCTCTTTTCTGTGTTTATGCTCATGTTTCTCTTTCCAAAATTGCTACTACTTTTTTTCTACTAGTAAAATTCAGTTCTTTACACAGTCTGGATTCTTTGTCCCTAACTTCAGAAATTTTTAAATCAAGCCAGTTTCACCCGAGTAAAGCTGGTTAATATTGTCCTGGTAGACACCGACAACAGAGTTAGAAGCTGACAGAGCCCAAGAGGTAAAAGGGAACTAAAGAGGTTGTCTCGCTCTATTAATTTATTCTTATCCCTAAATGTGTTGTAACACATTCTCAAGGACAACAGTTCTCCTTTAATACATTCAATATGGGTAATTTCTTAATTGACTGAATACCAAATTTGTTTACCAGAAGCACTAGGGGAAAAGAAAATATTCCCATATCCACTAGAAAATAAAATAAAATACAAGCTGTACACACATCTTAAAAAGCGCAAAGCACTCTCAAAATGGGTGGCTATTAATCTCTGCATTTAGTTTGAGGCCCAACATCGGACATCAATTTTTAGACAACAGAGATTCTGTGTATCTTCAAATACCATCAGTGGTCTCAAATCCCAAAGCCCAAAGCCATTAGGAAATCACATCAGCTTAAAACAGTAAATAAAATCCTGATGGACGAAGATATTACCAACTAGTTGCCACACCTGTCCCTCACCCATTTTCTTCAACACTGTGAGACACAGAATGAGGAAGTGGCTAATTCCCATTGTGGTTCACTGGGTTCTTAATGGAAGAAAGCATAACTTTAAAAGAGGAGAAATAAAAGGAAAAGAAAGAGGGAGGGAAGGAAAGAAAGGAGGGAGGGAGGGAATAAAAAGCCACCCATTCAGAACAGGTGTTCATTTTCTTTTAATCTTTTTTTCCACTAGGCTATGTTCAAAGGCAGTTCGCTGCACCATGGTATAATAAGTTTTAATAGACAATACATTACCTGTATAGCATAGGGAATATAAGTCAATAATATTGTAATAACTATGTATGGGTACTAGACTTATTGGGCGATCACTTCACAAGTTATATAAATGTCTACCCACTATGCCATAGACCTGAAACTAATATAATATTGAATGGCAACTGAAAATGAAAAATTTAAAAATAGAAATTAATGAATTAAGTTTTAAAATGCAGTACCTTAATTGCCAGCTTATTAATAACTTAATAATTATCAAATAAGAATCAGCACTCCTTTTAGAAAAACTTTTTGGGACAATTCTTTGGAAAGGCCCTAGCACTAGACAATGTGATCCTGAGCAGTGGCAGGAGCCCAGACAACAAGAGCCAGGAAACTGTCCTGCGTGCAGTATGAAAAATAATTTGAAGTGGAGCGCCCCTGAAAAGAAGGCAGAGAGAGAAGGATAGAAGCAGCAGAACCAGGAAATGGGGCCAGGATGATGCTGGGTAAAACTAATGGAACACCCCTCCCACACTCTCACCCTTATTCCCCACACACACTCCTTCCACATGGGCAACACTGTGGTCTGAAACAGACACAGCGCACCTGGAATCCAAAGACGGGAGCCAGAACCAACTATATGAAATAAACATCTTCCAGGCCTGCGGAAATCTTGGTAAGAGCTTTGCCACAGGGCATGGAAGGTGTGTGGTGGTGGCTGTTAATGCTATCTAGACAGCACGAAGCTGGACATCCCCAGCCAACTGCTGAGCTACAGCCGTGGGACCAGCCTCTTGCTGTTATAAGGGGTTAACCTCATTGCCAACCAGCACAAGTTGTTACCAACTGTCTCTGTACGTTGCAACCTTTAAAACACAGACTCAAAACCTCCAAGAGAACTTCTCACCTTCTTTCCTTTTGGACCACCACCCCACCTTGGGATCAGCCGAGTTATTGTCAATACCTTATACTACAAAGATCATTCTTGGTGGGGAGAAAAGGTGGTCTATATCCCCCAGCTACTCTTCAGGCTCTTCTTAAGCAAGTAACAAAAGAGGCAAATTTTCAATTTGGTCCCTTCCCACACCCACTTGTGTTGCGATCTTCCTGTTTTTGGGATAACATCTTCTCCATTCTTCAGAAGGATTGCTCCATGCCCAGCATGGTGCCAGGCACATCGAGAGGATCTTTGATTAATTAAATTGAATTCAATTATAAAATCACATACCAATGCAAATAATCATATGAAGCAGTTAAGGAAAATGCTATAGAAATACTTGTTATTGTCATTACTTTGATTCTAAGAAAAATAAACTACTTTGGGATCGGAGAAGCTTGTACAACATTTATTTATTTACCTCTTGACCATCTTTGCTTACTCGTACCCAAATTGCCACTGCCAGGATGAAGATACCGCATAGCTGCAGGAAAAGAAAAAAATATGTATTAGAGTACAACTAAGATAAGATAAACTGGAACTCCAATTCCACATACCCCCAGCATTCTGGTTAAAATGGTCTATCATTAATTACACCATTACAATCTAAAAGACATAAATGAAGCATATTCATGTGCACATAGGTGCTAACACAGTCCACTGGAATGGGTAAATTTGGTAAGAATAGTCCGTTTCCCATCCACAGTCCATTCATAGGTCTAGGACAAGAAATTGTCTCCACTATGGAGGAAGGGAAAAATGATTTTCCATGTTTCAACTCTAACTCAGTGTTTTAGCTAGATTTTAACATACAAGAGATAAGTCACAAGAGTGTAAAGACAAAATATCCTTATTGGACCCCTGGGTTTGTCTCTGAGAAGCTGTCTTAGACCAAAAGAAAGAGAACTGACTAATTACTAAACATTTTTTTAAGATCCAAGAAACAAGAAGTTGGGAAAGACAGTGAAAAGTAGACCATTTGACAAAATTTACAGTTAAGCAACAAGCATTCATAGCACTTTTGTACCTAAATAAACTCTTTTAAAATAAGCTTTTAGGTAGTAAAGCTTACCCAGAGAAGAAGAACAATGAGGAACAGTACTTAAAGTCTTAAATTCCTTTAATGACTTTACCAGATTATTTAATTTGGACCAAGGCCAACACATAAAATGTGAAACACATTTTGCTTTTGTGTAAGGAAAACCCTTGTCTTTTAGGTTTTTTTTTTTTTTTAAGATATATATGTTGAGGCCTCAAAAAAGAAATCAAAGATCTATTATTAGACAGAGATGTTGAGAACATCTTGGTAACATACCAAGCACACGACAGGTCTTGGAGGACTTATCTAGACTATTCCGGCCTTATGGTACCAGAGTCCTCTAAAGCCCAGTGACCTCGCAACATCATTGCTTTTATGCACAGGTGAGCCAATATATGTGGACTCCCAAAGCAGCAGTTTCATTTTTAATGGCTTCGCATTAAGTTTGCCATGGAAGTAGAGTCAAGGGCTTTGTTAAGGAATAGGGAGTACCATGAGGCGCTGAATAACCAGAAAAATCTGTGTTCCCTGAAAGATCTCAAAGGTCATCTAGGTTTAAATGCTTCATTTTAGATAAACTAGAACCCTTGACAGATAACAGTCGCACTGTGAAAATCCAGCACCACTTCTAATCCAATCTTGCCTCTACTACAGGCTTCTACTCCTCCTACAAAATAAGGAATGCAATGGAAAAACGAAATCTCTTTATCAAATCACCAAATAACCTGCACAATTTAATTATCTTACAGGCACATGTATACACACACTATAAAATAGAAACCATTGGAAAAACAGCTTTAGAGCATGAAAGCCCTCCTGATTTCCTCTCCATTTCAACTAATTCTAATTTCATTTGCAGATAAAGATAAAAAATACTCATTTTAGCAGTTCTTTGTTAATAAATAAGTCTGAAAGAATTTGTGTCAAATGATAATGAGACTGGGATTTTCAGTAATTTTATAGCAACTGGATTTGATTTGTTCACTGATATTTTCTTTCCTTTTCTTCACAGGAAGATTTACATTGATTATCATAATAGTTGCTCTGGCTTTTAGCTTTAACTGAAAATAGTATTAATTATCTGAATAGACGTTATAATTATCATTCTTATCTGATACTTATTGATGAAACTACTGAGAAAATTTTAAGAACTTTTACAGACTCACAGTGTAATATTGTTTACACCCTTACTTTTTTTGTTTGTTTCTATGTGACTTTTTAGTTCACTTTTTCAATGTATTTAGACATCAAATTGTGCAGCAATCTTATGAAATCAACCATATTTTCCCCTCAAATGATAACTTTTAGTCTTCTCAGCCACTGAAAGTTATCAGTAACATTAATATTTAAAAGAAAAAATATTAATATTTAATATTAATATCAAAACAAGAATGAGATACCACTCATTGTATACCTATTAGAATGGCCAAAATCTGGATCACTGACAACCCCAAATGTGGATAAGGATGTGAAGGAACGGGAACTGCCATTCATTGCTACTGAAATGCAAAATGGTTCAGCTACCTTGGGAGACATTTGGCAGTTTCTAACAAACTATGTATACTCTTACCACGTGATCCAGCAATATATAACATTCCTTGGTATTTACCCAAAGGAGTTGAAAGCTTACACCAAAACCTGCTCAGCGATATTTATAGCAGTTTCATTCATAATTGCTAAAACTTGGAAGGCACCAAGATGTCCCTGAGTAGGTGAATGGATAAGTAAACTGTGGTATATCCAAACAATGGACTATTAGTCAAGGCTAAAAAGAACTGAGCTAGCAAACCATGAAAGACTATGGAGGAAACTTAATTGCATATCACTCAGTGAAAGATGCCAATCTGAAAATTCTACATGCTGTATGATTCCAACTACCCTACACCCTGGAAAAGGCAAAACTATGGAATCAGTAAAAAGGTCAGGGATTGTTGGAGGGGAGACAAAAAGAATGGGCAGAGCACAGAGGATTTTGAAGGAGTGAAAATACTTGAAATAATAATGTAATGATGGCTACATGTCAATGTCATTATACATTTGTCCAAACCCATAAGATGCATAACGCCAAAAGTGCACCCTAATGTAAACTACCGTCCTTGGGTGATTATGATATGTCAGTGTTGGTTCATCAATTGTAACAAATGTCCCACTCTTGAGAGTGATACTGATAATGGGGGCAAACTATGCACCTGTGGGAACCAGGGATATATGGGAAATCTCTGTACCTTCCTCTCAATTTTTCCGTAAACCTAAAACTGCTCTAACAAATTAAAGACTTCTTAAGCAGAAAAAGAAAGTATTCAATTATTTCAGAAGTCAAGAATATTTTGCCTAATGTCAATCTTCACAGTGATAAAGATAAAGGTTCTTGGGGGTTTTGAAGCTGGCCAAACTATCATTTCCATCTCTTATTCAAACTTCATCAGAAAAACAAAAGAAACAAACGTTTAAAATATATCATCCTCATCTTACTGAAGAAATTCATATGTCAAAATCAGAGAATCTTAATGACATGCAATCATTCATAAATTTGTTAAATTTGTTTCTGTTCATGGGCTTTAAAGTAATTTAAAACCAGTAAATTGATTTCCTGTCAAGAACAATTGTTCTAGAGTTATGATTGACATGAACTTATTTTATTCTGGTTTGTATTCATGGGTTTGTTCCCCAATCTTTTTAGACGGTTTTAAATTACTGGGAGTATAAATTAAGAAGAAGAAAAAAGTAGGAAGAAAATGGGAAGCACCATTGGGGGCACAAAGGGCACAGAACAGGCTGTTTTGTCCTCTTTTCAGATAATGTGTCCTCCAGTCATTCCTCCCCCCACCCTTCAATTCTATCTTCAGGTCTGGGTGTTTATCAAAGTGTTTTGAGAAGTGCTGAAAATGGAAGAAAACACATAGTTCCACGCTAGGAGGAAGAGTGTACTGTGAGCTGTCATTAGTGGTCCAAAATAGACACTTTTTAGATAAATTTAGGGGAAACCTTCCTATGCTGCTCCTGAGAGGTTACAAACAAATAAGAAAATATTCAAATGAATAATCTGGGTAACTACAAAATTTGTTTTAACCATAACCTCAGAACACAAGAGGTCGTGAGTAAAGCCCTAATGTTTTGGGACACTACTACTGTTGTTCATTTTCTAGTATCCTCTTTTATTAAATATTTACTCAAAAGTCTAGTTTAATTGCATTGTGGTAAGATAATATAGCCTGTGAAATCATTGCTCATGAGAATTTTTTATATTATCATCTTCCATCACATCCTTCATCTCTGTCTAATTTTCCTCTGGCAGAGCTTCTCTGTTTGGGATCCTGTATTGTTGCCTCCATGTAATGTGATTTCTAGAGTGGATTTTAATTCTATCATTGTGTTTCTGGTTTACTTGAAGTACTTCTTTATTTTATCCATTTCCCCTTTCATCTCATCCTATGGTTTTCCAGTTAACTTTAAGCTATCTTCTCTTGTGACCTCCAGCCACCCTGCCACGGGGGGTTATTTTCTGGCATTGCATTGTGAATGCAAATTTCCTGATACTTTTTTTCAGGATGCCAGAGAGTTTTTCTCAGGGGTGTGAGCTTGTCCTCTAGGCTTCAGGGTGACATTCCCTTTCACTGGTTCAAGGGTGTTTTTTATTTGGACTTACGCTGGTTTTTCCTTTATCCATCCTTTAATGAGACCTATTCTGATTTCTTATTAATTTGCCTCACTTTCTAGCAACAGCAGTTATGTCAATTCTCCACTGTGTGAGAGGGGAGATCGTGGTGCATTCTCTCTCCAGGCACAGCCAAATGCAGCTCAGATTTACAGAAATGGCCCCCCAGCCTTCACACAACATTTGATTTTCTCACGCTCTAAGCCAGTAATTTCCAAGCTTTGTCATCTCATGGCACACATAAATTAATCACTAAAGTCCTGAGGCATACAAAAAATATTTTTCTTGCTGATCTGACCCCAAAATATGGGTATAATTTTGATTCATTCACACCAAACACCTATTGTTGTGTTGGCTGTTATCATTTTTTTATTTGACAGCCTAAGGGGAAACGGGCCAGTTCCCCTCACTAAACAGTCAGGTAGTGCATGCTTTAACAATTCTTGTGGCACACCATTGTGCCTGCCACAGCACACCGGTTGAAAACCTCTGCTCTAAACCAGTGGAGTAAATTAAACAGTTCTCAGCAGACTCTGCTATTATGTTTCTCTATGTTCCCCAAATGAATGATATTGATTGTATTAATGTCTGTTAAGTACATAGTGAAGTGTCCCTACGGTTGTATTCATGTGCACTTTATAAACCTATTAACTAAGCCAAACACCCACTATAACTGCTACAAATTCTAATTTTAAATATCTCTAAATTTAAGGGAAAAAAAATCAACCATATTTCCTTCAGACACAAATAGGGCCTGGATAAGGATGCCTCAGGTTATCTTTCCTGCACT